AACGCAGGCGAAGCGCCAGTGTGTGTGTGTGTGTGTGTGTGTGTGTGTGTGCCCAAAAATCCCCAGAGGAGAGTGGATAAGAAAGGATTGTGGTGTGCCCACCTCCTGGGGGGTGATTCTCGCTTTCTGTCTGCCTCTTTCTGTCTCCCCAGTGAGTACACATGTCCTATAGCAAAAATCTCTCTCTGAAAAAAAATTAAAAAAAAAAATCAATCCTTCTCCCTCATCTATTTACTGTGAAATTTAGATTCTCATTTTAAATGTGTTATTTCAAGTGACTATTTCCTGGTACCAATTTACTCCCCCCCCCCAACACACACACACACACACATACACAATTATTTATTTATTTAATTCCATTTGTTATTATTATTTTTTAAAATTTGACCAGACAGAGACAGAGACAGAAAGGGAAAGCAAAAAAGCAAACTGCCAGGTCTGGGACTCAAACTGTGGTCAAACATGTAAGAATACAGTGCCCTCAATCACCATGCCACCTGCCGGTCCCACCAATGTTGTTTTGATAATGAGAATTTTGTGTACTTATTCAAAGGAAAACTTTTAAGATTATTTTTAAACTTCTCAGGAAAGGATCTTATTGAATCACTAATTGTGGTTACTGTAGTTGAAACTGGGTCAGGAGACTTTCACGTCTATCTATTCACAGGTATATCTCTCTATGTATAGATATATCTCTAAGTCTGGGACAGTGCCTGGCATTTGATAGATGTTCAATAAATATTTGTGGTATTAATGAGAACTAAACAGAGAAAAAAATCCATCTTTGTATTTTGAGAATTTATGATCTAATGCCAGGGCCAGGACAAATATAGAAAAAAGGTTAGGAATGCTTGTAGATGGGGAAGAAAAGGTCATTTCAGTGCACCTTTTCAGTGCATTGAAAAAAGAAACTATTCAGTTTTTATTTGAAGTAGTTAATATGGGATTCAGGAGGAATTGGGAGTCATGAATTTTGGAGAAGAAAATTAATGACATGTGAGAAGAAAAACATGCTACTTTTGAAGTTCTGTATTGTATTAGGTAAGTTTCTTTTTGTTTTCTTGTGAGATAGTCAGGTCCTAAGTGACATTGTTGACTGTGAATATGTACAGCCAGGAGTGGAGCTGTCTGAAGGTTTAGTAGCTTTTTTTTTTTTTATATCACCTCTTTTTTTTTTTTTTTAGTTTTTTGCCATATGGTGCATGCACTCACTGGAGAGAGACAGAGATGGAAAGTGAGAAATCACTCCCTGCCAGGATGGCCATACTGCCGTCCCTTCTTCATTCTTCTCTCGGGATTTTGGGCATGCATGCACATGGGCCCGCTGTGATTTTCAAGCTGCTGGGTCCAAGACTAAAACCTGGGTTGGCCGTGTAGGAGTCCAGTACCTTATCCACCATGCCACCTGCTGGCCACAGTACCATTGGCTTTTAAAATATTTTAGTTATGCCTTCTGAATACTGAATTCAGATGCTCTCGATAACTGGGGACATGTTGTCACTAGAGATAAAATAGATTTTTTTCTGTTTTCCTGTTTTTTTCTCAAAAATTTTTCTTAAAATATTAAACTTTAAATATGAAAGCAGAATATAGCCACATAGTGTTTCATCACACATAATGGATATTTACACTTAGGAAGCAGTCCAGTAGAACTGTGCACATTTAAATTCCATTAAACAATAATGTCAGTAATGTATTATGTCTTTTTCATTCCTACTAGGTTAACATTTGCACTTTCACATAAAATTAAGACACATATTATAGAAAAATAATTTGTAATTTTGTGAAGAATATTTTATATTGGAATCTAGTACAGTATTTTCTTAATATTTGTTTCCCAGAACAGATAGGCTCAGATAATAGTTACTGATATTGTCAGTTCATCTGAGCCTATCAGTTAGCATAATGGCTAACTAATCATCCCCCAGAGGGGATGATTTCTCGCTTTCTGTCTCTCTGTCTCTGTCTGTCTGGCGAGCGCACATGCCCTATAGCAAAAAACCTCTCAAAAAAAAAATTCTGTAAGGGTTGGGACCAGCAGTTAGCGTAATGACTATGTCGCTGGACTCCCATGTAGTCTACCGTGGTTTGAGTCCCGGACCTGGTGGCTTAAAATCACACCGGGCACGTGTGCATGCATGCCCAGATCCTGATAGGAGAATGGAGGAGAAGAGATTGTGGTGTGGCCATTCCCCCTGGGGATGATTTCTTGTTTTCTCTCTCTCTCTTTCTGGTGAGCGCACGTGCCCTATAGCAAAACCTCTCCCCCCCAAAAATTCTGTAAGGGCAAAAGGATTGACTGTACAATTGATTCCTTAGGAAATTGTTACTGGTTATGTAATGGTTTTGAGACTCGTATTAAAAAAAAAAAAAATTCTCCCGGACTAGCAGGTGGTGTGGTTATGAAGGTATTAGATCTCACATGGGTATTAGATCTCACATGATCTACTTTGTGGGTTGAATCCTGGAACCAGGGGCCTGAAAAGCACACCAGGCGTGTGTGCGTGTGCGCCCAAAATCCTGAGAAGAGAATGGAAGAGAAGAGATTAAGACTGTGGCCATCCCCCTGAGGGGTGATTTCTCACTTTTCCTCTCTCTCTGAGCACATGTGCCCTTTGGGGGAAAAAAAATCTAAAAAAGAAAGAAAGAAAGAAAAAATATCTTCCTCTGGGTGTGCCCTATAGGTAGTAGTGGTTAAGTGCTGTGCATTGGGAGCTGGATCCCATGTGGCCTACCACAGTTCGGGTATCAGCCCTTGTGGCTTGAAAAACATGCTGGGCATGTGTGTTTGCCTGGCCAAAACCCTGATGGGGTGGAAAAGTGGAGAAGAAGGATTACAGTGTGACTGTGACCCACTGGAGGGAGCTTCCTCTCACTCTTTCTCTGGTAAGTACATGTGCCCTCTGGCAATAAAAAAAAAAGTTTTAAAAATCCTTTAAAAAATATCTTCCTTGTGACAGAAGATTGAGTCTAATTGCAGTTAATACAAAGTTTGTTTGTAGTCAGTCACTTCTTCAACTTATACCAAGGTCAATCATATTTCATGTAATGAATTTTATCAGTGGAGAAAGCAGATCATATTTGTAAGGCATCAGTATGTTCATATTATTTAATGTTTTTTTTTCAAAAATTATTTTCCTAGGAAGCATAACATTTGAAACAATGATGGAAATTCTCCGAGATAAACCAAGTGGCATTAATATGGAGGGAGAATTCCTGACCACTGCAAGCATGGCTTCTGTTTTGCCTCAAGACTCCAACCTTCCTTGTATTCACTTCTTTACAGCAACTCCTGATCCTGAGAGGTGAAGTTACAAAATACTATCAAGTAGCAACAGGGTCGCAGAGAGGGTAAAATCATTAATACGTTGATGATTTTGTCAGATGAATTCTTGTTGCACAAGTAGGACAATAACTTTTTAAAACATATTTGCTATTTAGGTTTTAGTCTATAATTTCCACATGTGCATAACCGTTTTAATTTTTTATGGGAAGAAAATGTCAGTAGTCTCTTATATGCAGTTATTCCCGCTTCTTCCCATAAATATATTTAACATTGTCAAGAAAAGAAAGTGGATAGTTTTAAAATTTTATTTAATCTTATTCATTGTCATTATTTTTACTTTTTTTTTTTTTTTTAAAGTTGACCATAGAGAGACAGAAAGAGAGAAGGAAAGTGGGAGAGCAAGCCGCCAGGTCTGGGATTTTAACTGCGGTCACCCATGTGGGAGTCCAGCTACCTTAACCACTATACTACCTGCTGGTCCCTAGTAGATAGGTTTTCTTACTCAGATTTCAGATATTATGAGATTAATTAAGTAGTTGTGCTGGATTTACTTACAAACTCATGTATAGAAAATATTTATCAGTTCAAGTTATGTCTTGAGTTAGACTTGTTTAGACTATCTTAATTCATTAGAATCTCCCATAAAACTTGAGGCATGTTACATTTAGAAATGAGTTCATATTCACTGTCTCTTAGTGTTAACAGTGTTTCACTATTATTAAAGATATTTTCAAGAAAATGGGATGAAATTTCTACCTCCCTAGTTAACTCTGGTGCCAATTTTCACCCCTGATCTTAATATTCTATCGATTAACATTGTGGACTGTTCTTAACTTCCACCTATGGGGCTTGGAAGAAGAAAATGGCAAGCTATTTCTTCACTGGAACACCAGGAACCCTTCTAGGTTCATGGGAATGTAAGGCCATAAAGACCTCCCCAAAGAAGATATGGGTGTATCAGGGAAGATAGGCATGGGCATAACTAAAATGACTGGAACACATTCATAAGTAGCATCATCAAAAGATACTTCTTTTTTAGATACATTTTTTTTGAAAGGTTTTTGCTATAGGGCGTGTGCGCTCACCAGACAGACAGAGAGAGACAGAGAGACAGAAAGTGAGAAATCACCCCCAGGGGGGATGGCCACACCGCAATCCCTTCTCCTCCATTGTCCTCCATTCTCCTCTCGGGATCTTGGGCATGCACGCACACGTGCCCGGCGTGAGTTTTAAGCCACTGGGTCTGGGACGCGAACCGTGGTCAACTACGTGGGAGTCCCGCGACATAGCCATTATGCTAACTGCTGGTCCCGATCAAAAGATACTTCTAATTAAAGGGAATCTTGGAAGACATGCAGTAATGACACACCAGCTTAATAAAGACTCTTTCTTCTAGATCTATTTTTAAACCTTTCATATTTGTGCCACATATTTCACAACTATTGGACACTAGTTCACCAACATTCGAACTTGAAGATCCTGTGAAAAAGAAGCAGCACTTTAAGATTAAGCCTGACAGAAGACATCCACTCTACCAAAAACATCAACAGGCATTTGAAGTACTAGATAATAATAAGGTATGATTATATTCTCTGTTATATCATTAAGAATAATTTAAGGTGTGAATTAATCCATAGTTTGAACTTTGTAGTGGAAGCTTTCTTTCCTTCTTTTATAGAAACAACTTGGTTTAGAAATAGTTTAGAAGCTTAGACTATAGTAGAGGCATTTGGTTAAGAATGCATGTCTTGTAAATCCTTTAGAGCAATTTAGTATAGTAACCATAATAACAATAGCTAACATTTATTGAGCACTTACTGTATACACCCAACACCACAGTACTTGCACATACATCATTTATTTTTAAAAATGATTATTTATTTAATTTTATTTGTTATTATCTTTAATTTGCTACAGGACACATGCACTCACCAGTCAGAGACAGAGAGAGAGAGAGAGAAAAAAAATGAGAACGCAAGCCACCAGGTCTGGGACGCAAACCATGGTCAGCCATGTGGGAGTGCAGTGCCTTTAACCACCACGGCACCTGCTGGCCCTGTACATGCATTTTCATTTAATCATCACAATTACTTTATGAGGTAGGTATTATTATTCCCATTTTACTGATAAGGAATCTGCCACTGGAGAGTTTAAATAACTTGCTTGGTGTATATCCCCCACCACAAATTACACAGTCTCTGACGGACAGTTAACCTTGTCTTTGTATATAATGTTCTTAATCAGCCGACCCTAGATTAAAATGTACTGAAAGTTACGTAAGACCCATAAACTGAAAACAATAATAATAGGGGCCAGCAGGTGGCAAAGCGATTAAGGCACTGGACTCCCACATGACTAAATGTGGTTCAAGTCTTGGACCTGGCAACTTGAAACTTATACTGGGCACATATGCCTGCATGCTCAAAATCTCAAGAGGATAATGGAGGAGAAGGGATTGTGGCGTGGTCACCCACCCAGGGGGTGATTTCTCTCTTTCTTTCTCTTTGTCTCTTTTTGTCTCTCCAATGAGCGCACACACCCTATTAGCAAGTATTTTGCTAAAAAAATTAATAATAATTTGTTTCATAGAAATAATATGTGCTAATTATTTTAAAGTGTCACATTATAAAAAAAGCAATATATCAGCCCAAATTTCATCTACAGAAATAATTTCAGTTTATTTAATTCAGCTATTTTGTCAGGCAAAATTTTTAATTTAGTAATTTGTATTGTTTAGGCTTTTCCTTTAAGGCATCTTATTTCATGCTTCTAAAGACCTACCTCTCCTCAAAATAAAACAAATTCTGTATTTTATTCCAGTAGGTATGCATATTTTTAAAGAGAACATTGGCTTCTTTAATCTATTTGAAATTTATTTTTGTTAATATCATAAAGTACAGGTTCTAACTTTGTTTTCCAAAAAGGTAGCCAATTACTCCAATACAATTTATAGACAATATCCATTTTTCTCCATGGAGAGCAATATAGTATCTCCTCAGAAAAAAATTGCATATATTTTTATATTGAAGTCCATGTTAAGGTTAAAAATCTTTGTTTTATAGAATTATGCCCCATAATGGTTCACATTTTAAAAATTATATTCAATTTCCAGTAACATTTTTCTTATATAATTTTTCTCTGGGTGCCTACCCTATAATTAATTTAATCATAGCAATTCATCAACAATTTAAAATTGTTCTTTCTTATAAAAGTTGTGGACCTTTTTTTCTCTTCTTGAAACAAGGAAGAAGTCATAGAGAAATCTGTTCTTTTAGTTGCTTTTCCTCTAACATTACTGTTCTATTTTTTTTAATATGATTATATTGATTTTACATATAGAAGATCTAAATTCATAAGAATATCTCAGCTTTCATTTTCAGCAAACATACAATTTTTTAAAATAATTATTTTATTTAACTTTACTTCTTCTTATTTTTAATTTGACTAGATAAGGATAGAGAGAGAGACAGAAAGTGAGAAAGCAACCACCAGGTCTGAGACTCTTAACTGTGGTCAGCCACATGGGAGTCCAACATCCTTAACCACCACACCACCTGCTAGCCCCAACCGTACACGATTAATACCAGATTTTCAATGATCCATTTATGTTGTTTTTTAACGATATTGTATGTAAATGCACACGCTTGCACAAGAGAGATGTGGGACTCAGCCATGACAGGGGCTCACCACACTGTGATCCACTTTCCTTGCTTCTCCAGCTCCTCAGATCTTGGGTGAGCACATACCCCATATATTTTCCAGCTGATCTAGGAATCCAGACCCGTGGTCAGTCATATGGCTTCCAGCCTAACAGGGTACTTGGCTTATCGGTAGGCCACAGTGGCTGGACCTACTATTGTTTTTCAGGTTTCTTGCTTATAGACTAGTCTTATATAATTGTTCTTGATTTTTTTCCATAAACATAACTAATAATTTGGTATTAATACATGAACTTAATCTAGAGCAGTGACTTTATCCAAAGAATTAAATTTCTTATATCTAAAGAATAGGCGGTGGAACCAAACCAGAAGTAGAAACTAGAATGAACAGAACTGTCTATAGAAGTGAATTGGATGTACATGTTTATTTTTATATTTTTAATTGTATTTTTAATTATTCAGGGAAAAGCAAAATCAATGTTGGACAACATGAGGAAGATGGAGAAAGGACTATTCAAAGAGATGGAATCAATCCTTCAAAACAAACATCTCGATGTGGATAAAATTGTTAATCTTTTTCCTCAGTGTGCAAAAGACGAAATTAGAATTTATATGTCAAATATTAGTTCTCAGTGATCATATAAATGATCAGTGGTCTTCAAAGTCAGAATCTATCACTTTGGTAAATGATGAAACCTAATTCGAGCAAATCTGATTCTTCTTTAATAGTATCCAAGTGATATCTTGACTCTTACAACTACATATAGTCCTGCTGCAATACTGAGAAAGACCTGCTGAAATACTGAGAAAGAAAACATTGGATTTGAATGCATATATCATGAGATAGCAAGTGCTACTTCAGATAATGGACTTTTGTTTTATTCTAGCAACATTAACTTGCTTTTGGTCATAGTAACTAAGTATTTAAGTTTACATAAAGTGTAACATTAAAATGATGCATGGAATAATGTTTATTATAATTACACAGTGCCCTCAAATCACTTTCTCAATTACATCTTTACTGATGGAATATACCTTAGGTGGTGAGTTCTTTTGTGTTTTAGGCAAACATTAATCAGCTCTAGAAAGAAAATGTCTTCGATTTATATGTTTAAGTCTTTGTTGCTACTGTGTATTAATTCTCAGATGCTCTTTTATTAAATTCAAACATGCTCTTTCTGAAGACTTGACTGACTAGCGAATTTGTAACTCTAATTATTTATCTTTTTGGGGACATCTCTCCTAATGAAATTTTTTTAAAAGCGATTTTTGCAATAGGGTGCATGTGCTTGCCAGAGAGAGACAGAGACAAGAAAGTGAGAAATCACCCCTCCAGGGGCGATGGTCACGCCGCAGTCCCTTCTCATCCATTCTCTTCTCAGGATTTTAGGGATGCACGCACACAGACCTGGCATCAGTTTCAAGCCCCTGTGTCTGGACTCGAACTGCAGTCGGCAATGTGGGAGTCCAGCAACATAACCATTACGCCATCTATCGGTCCCTTCTAATGGAATTTTATGTTAATAAGATATTTTTCAGAAAAACTTGGGACCAGGAGATGGTGTAGTGGTTATGTTGCTGGACTCCCACATACTCAACCCGTGGTTTGAGTCCTGGACCCAGTGGCTTGAAACTCAGACTGGGCACATGTGCGTGCATGCCCAAAATTACATGAGGTGAATGGAGGAAAAGGGATTGCAGGGCGGCCATCCCCCTTGGGAGTTGATTTCTTGGTTTCTGTCTCTTTGGTGAGTGCATGTGCCCTAGAGCAAGAATCTCTAAAAGAAAAAGAAAAACTTGTCTAGGAGATTAGGGGTCAGGATAAAAAACCAACACCTTAGGAAATAGTGTTCCTGTGCTTCAAATCTCATCTACTTCTGTTCACTTGGTAAAAATAGGAACAGGAATAAGGTAGTGGCAATGAAATAAAATGATCACTTATGAAAATTGTATTACTCTGGACATATGTATTATATGTTGTAAATATAAATGAGGGATATCTTTTCAGAATGTATAAAATGTTGTTAAAGATACAGGAAGATTACCAAATAACATACGAAATTGTGATCTAGCTGGTGGCATAATGGTAAGGTGGCTGGATCCAACATGGCCATCAGCATGGTTCAAGTCCTGGACTTGATGGCTTAAAAAACATGCCAGACTGGGAATAGCAGGGGGTGTAATGGTTACATTGCTGGACTCCCACATAGTTGACTGTGGTTTGAGGCCTGGACCTAGCCGCTTAAAACTCACGCTGGGCACATGTGCGTTCATGTCCAAAATCCCAAGAAGAGAATGGAAAAGGAGGGATTGGAGCTTGGCCATCTGGTGATTTCTCACTTTCTGTCTCTCTCTCTGTCTCTCCAGTGAGCACACATGCCCTATAGCAAAAATCTCTCTCTCTCAAAAAAAA